AGACATTGTCATCAGCTGTTGTAGCTAAACAACAGATTGGAGACAACCTACCAAGACATTGTCATCAGCTGTTGTAGCTAAACAACAGATTGGAGACAACCTACCAAGACATTGTCATCAGCTGTTGGGTTACTGATGCCAGGAGCCGTCAGCCTAGCTACAACAATCACTGGGGTGCCACAGGATGTAAATCTTGGGGGTTCCACATCTATAAATTTCAATAGAAATAGAGGTTAGCACTGATGGACTCTGTCTAAGTTGTTGCAGACATTAAGTTGTGAAATGAATAAACAATTTATAAATGGAGTGAAAAACAGGTTTTCCTGACATTCTGCAGGATTCTTATAAGAGGAGATTCAATTATTGATTCAAACAAATTGAAATTTGATTACTTTGTGCCTATTCATTTATAGCACAATAACACAAAGTGTAAAACAACTTTCTGATCAACTTAACAATTAAAAGCTAGGACTATATGAAAATAGAAAATCATCTAGTCTGGTTGAGTTAAAAAGTTAATTAAATGAGAAAAATGAAATAGGAATTAACAGAGAACTAAAGGGAAGTTTAAAATATGTGCTTCTCAACTCACCAGCACATTCTGGTGCAGTGCCATTCCACTGAAGCCTGTGAAAAGAGCTATTCCATTGACACTCAAGTGGTCTCTTATCTTGGGGCTCAAACCCAGACCTTTCACATCTGTAGTAGACCAGGCTGTATTCCTCATAGGATGTGGCTATTTGAACAGCTCCAGGTTTTGTTCCAGGGTCTGTGCATGAGGGATCTGAAAATAGAGCCTTTACCTTAAACCGGTGAACATGATCGCTCTGGGAGTATAATCATAAGAAAATGAACCACTAAACATGAGGGTCCTGAAGAAAGGTTCACAGAAACATGAACGTGATGGTCCTTAAAAAAAGAACATCAGAACATTAAGATGATGTTTCTGACAAAAGAACCAGAGAACATGATTGTTGTTAGAAGGTTGTTTTGTTTCTGAAAATTGCCCAGATTCTTTCTTTCTGTTATCATCTATCTTTGACTTAAATTTTCATTATTTAAGGAAGTTGAACTATCAGTGAATCTAAGATTACTGTATAAATAAGAATTGCTGCAATATTTCCAAATTAACAATTTCATCCAAATTAATACAATTCTAAGTACGGTATTAATTTTCTGTTTAATTTACCTTCTTCCAAAGTTCATTATATGTTAAGAGATACTGATCATGTTTTCATCCTTGATTTTGAAACCTACCCAAACATCTCAAATCACCAAAGTCCCAATGTCCATCTGCCATACAAGTGACCTCAGTGTTTCTGCCAAGTGAACTTTTACCCTCAAGGTTGAAATAAGGCTCCCGGCAGTGGAAAGTGAAAGTGCTCCCATATACGGTCGAGGTCACAGAATAAGAATCTGAACCAGGAAGTTGATTTGGTGTGCCACAATCAACAGCTGGGCGAGAAAAATTTGTTAGGACATTTAGCATTAATAAATGAGCTTGGCACATGAACAATTTTTAGATAATATTTATGTCAACACAATTAATGACAAGCACATTCTAGTAGAATGACAATTAAAATTTCACATAGAGATCAAGTTTCTTATAATTGATTAAAATAATATGGGTTCACTTTTAAATTTTTTTCTTCTCAAAATTTATATTAAAATATGTTATTGACATTAAATACATTTATATTTTTGCCACTAGACAATAATGATAATAATCCTTGCTGTTCAACAGTTCATGTCATGTAAACATTTAATAAATGCTGTACATCCCTACTGTATTTTCTTGGTAATCTGAACAGGTTGGGGGGGGGGGGGGGGGATTACCTTGTGGACATGTCAGTTCTGTGACATCAGCCAGGTAAGTGTTACTGTTGCTGTCATAGACACACCTAGACTGGAGATCAACAGATCCCAGTCCGGGGACTGTGCACAAAACACTGAAGTACTCCAGGTAAGCCACAGCAGACATGGGATTTGTGGTAGACACAGTTGAGTTAGGTGGATCGCAATGTGCAGCTATGGAAATGTAAAGCCGCTGTTCAACCATTTAAATGGATATAATTTGATATTCAAAAAATACAAAACAAACTCCCTGACAAATCAAACATGTTTTGTACATACTTTTTAACACACACAGACATTGCAGTTAATGGCACACAGCCATTCTTCAACATTATAAAGGCTAATGGAATTTTTTGTTCGTTAATTTTATTTCCTTTAAATCATGGACTACCAAATGAAAAAAAAAAAAAAAAAAAAACCAAAATAAAAAAAAAAAAAATAAAATATACAGCCATTCTTCAACATTATAAAGGCTAATGGAATTTTTTGTTCGTTAATTTTATTTCCTTTAAATCATGGACTACCAAATGAAAAAAAAAAAAAAAAACCACAGTGAGATAGAAGCAATTTAATTATTTTATTAGCTGTTTAACATATTTTTATCATTGAAGTGTAGAGGTTATGAATTATTATATAAAAATAGAACATTTATTTTATAAAATATATTAGAATTTTAAATCATTTTTCTGTGTTAATTATTAAAAAAAATATTTACATTGTAATATGCATACACGATTCATACACACTTTAAATTTAAACACAGCCTCCTTACAATAATTGTGAATTTTATAAAAAAATTTACAAGTTTACTATCAACGTCTGCAGAAAGCATACAGAAATCATAAAATGTTGGGATTTAAACCTGTTACACTATGAATCGGGGTTGAGACCAGTTCAGTCCCATTGACGTTTCATTTATCTGATGACAAGTGGCGTCATTTTAAATTAAATTATTCCTCAATGGGCTCACAAGGTTGATGTCCATTTACCAAACAAAAAAGGAAACTTTTCATATCCAAAGTCTATTTTTGAAGGTAAGTGTCTCAAGTTGAATATAAAATGTTTACTGAAAACAACAGTGTGAATAGTCATTTGGGTCTCCAGCTTACCACTGCAGGTTGGAGGCACTCCACCCCACTGGCCTGTTCCCAAACATGTCAGTACTGATGGCCTGGCGGGCTCAAAGCCGAGGTGACACAAACAAAGCAATGAATCCCCCACAGAGTATCTTGGCTTATCAATAACACACTGACCGTTGATGATGGTGACGGGGAGGCTTGGACAGAAAATTTCAGCTGTTAAAAGAAGACCATATATCAGAAAATGTGTCACACTCTTTTTGAATCTGGAGAATGCATTATTTATTTTAACTCTCCATTTTTTTTAAAATTTTTAACATTTTTTTGCTAAGCTAGAGCAGTACAGTAAAAATTATGTTCATGTATACAAAGAGATGTGATTTTATGTATATTTAAATATAGCAATTTGTATCTGCTGTTAGTCAGTCTACTGTTTGTAGCTTGCTGCTAAGTGAAAAAGTAACAGGCAGGTTAATTAATTTTATAAGGTGAAGCGAATACACACATTGCTTCCTTGAAGCCCCTTTCTAAATTATAAATGGGGCTATAACTTACCAGGCTCTAAGCACGTATGATTTAAATAGTGCTTGTTCCAGTGGTTTAATCCAGTCTCTGGAGGGGGAGTGAAGATCCCGGACTGACCATTCTGTTGGAAAAGTGTAGCGTTCAAGTACGGACATGAGCAGACGTAGCTGCCCACAGTGTTTGTGCAGACCTGCTCACAGTGACCGTTGTTGGCGCTACATTCATCGATGTCTGCCAGAGAGTAAAAAAAAAGATTCAAGGTGACAGAAAATTTAACTCGATGGACGTTCAAGCTTAACTCTATGAGAATTTGTTTTCCCCATTATTCAGGACAAGACACCAAACACCAAGTCCAAATACCACAACAGACAGAACCACAGAATTAATTAGACACCAATTAAGACCCCAAACTTGTTTAGAAACCATTTACCTTCAAGAACATGGGCTGGTCCAAGGACCACCATCCACAGACACTGACCATCTACCAGCATCAACTAAATGAACAAAATGAATTGTTCAACAAATAAAAAAAAAACAACGTGTCTCACCATCACAGCTCCTGCCGTCAGAAGCGAGCCTGTATCCCGTGCCACAGGAACATCTGAAGCTACCTATGCTATCTGTGCAAGTTTGTTGACACGCAGATACAACGGAGGCACACTCATCAATATCTGTGAGACAGAAAAATATTAGGAGATATAAATCATAAAAAATGCTGAAAGGATCAGAGGTGAAACATCCACTGCTCTCTCTTGAATCTAGAAAAGTTTTACCCTGCTTTAGTACAAACCCAACCCTTTTAAACTACTTTCTAATCTAGTATAGACACCCTCCCCTCCTATCAATTTCTGTGATAGCAGATAATCATTTAAAGAAAAAAAGTTAAAAGAATATTTGTGTCTTTGAAACAGGAATCAGTAACGGAACCCAATGTTTCATTGTCCGCTGTTGCTGACAAAAGACTTACTCTCACAAATTGGTAACTGGTCTGTAATTCCACATAAAATGGTTTCGGAACCTTCCAACTGGAAACCAGGGTGGCAGCTGACAGTCATGAGATCCCCTTGACTGATGTTGGATGATGGGAAGGTTGTCGCATGGCGGATGTATGGCGCACCACACTTGATTCCTGTAACAACCAATCAGCAATAATATACACTTTTACATCAATCCGTGTTCATTCATAGATTTTTCAGAAAGAGCTGGTTAACAAATGAAATCAAAATGGTGTGTGGAGGAAAGTTACATTATTTAAAACAAAATATAATAACAGAGAAAGCCTACATTTTAAGCCCAGAAATCCTCTGCAGTCTAAAAATTTTGTAATATCATAATTATGTGAAAGACACTTATTTGCTTGAGCTGAAGCGGAGTTTAAAATTGATACTGGCGTGAATATTTTTTTTGAAGAAAAATGCATTTTTTTTTAAAAAAAAAGCAAGCCTTTGGGGGTGTGCCCCCCCCCCCCCCCCCGGACTCACTTTGACACAAGGGTGGAGGAGATGACCAGTTCCCATGAGAACAGACTATCGCAGTTGGACCAATCAGCTCAAAGCCAGGCAGAGAGCAACCAAAGTGAACAACTGATCCATGATCGGTGCTGTTGCCAGTCAGTAATGTCATATTTCCATAACCTGGCGCCACTAGTGCTGGGCAGACCTGGGCAGCTGAAAGATGATTCAAAACAAGGTTTCAAAAATATTAGATCTGCTGAAATTAGAGTTTTTTTCTTGTATCCCTTCTTTTTTGTGTGTGTGCCTCCCGCCTAATATTTTGATGCTCCATTGGAGTCTAGGAGAACAACATTTTTAATTCATTAGATCTAATTTTCTGGATATGGAAATTAAAATTACAATAAAATTTAAAACCTAAAGAAAGGGCTGATAGCCTTCATGCTAACCCAAACTAAATGGAAAATTGGTCAGGGCAAGGAGGATGGTTTTGGGAGTTTTTTTTTAGGCTTATACAGAAATAAAGGGGAGGTGACTTACAAAGACAGAGTGGCGGGGGAGACCACTCTCCAGTCTTGAGGCATCTACTTAATCCTTTCTCTGAGTTGGGTTTGAAGCCAGTGAAACATTGGAACTCTAACTTGTCACCAGAGTAAACACTACTCAAATTAGTTATGTATCCATTCACAATGGTGGGTATTCTGCCACACAAGACCTCTGAAATAAAAAGACAAAAAAATGCTTAAAATTACAATAAGATGCTTGTAATATAAATCAGCAGGTAAAAAAGAAAAATGAATTTTTGTTTGCAAATGCCCCATTGATAAATTCTTGGTTGAATCTAAATGATTTGCTTTAGCCAACGTTTACAAATACCAACAAAATGCTCATACTCAGAAACAAAATAAGCATCCTTTGTGAATTCCCTTAAAAGGCTACTTTGTGTACTTAAAGAAATTAAGAGAACTAATTACCAATATGAACTTAACAATGTGATCTGTGTGGCATTGGATGGGCTGAATGGCATGACATTAATGACATGATGCACTGAAGTATAATTTTTCTAATCTTGTCAGATATCTTTAAATGCTATTCTCTAACTTCAACAACACTTGGCAGAGTATTTTCATTAAAGAGCTAAAATAAATTGAATCAGTGGTGGACCACACTAGGCATCACAAGATGAGGTGTGCCAGACGTGGACCACACTAGGCATTACCAAAAAATGGGGTCACACCTGAAATTTAATGGATATTTGTTAAATGGTAGGGCCTATATATTTTTTTTTAATGTTTAAAAATGAATGAATAATTAAACCTGACCAGTAAAATTTGCATGCATTTTACATTTTCTTTTCACCCAAGTTAACATACAATCTATTCATTATGTTTCATTCATAATAAAGTAACATTGTTATTGAAATGCTGTAGTATAAAAATTACTATCAGCAATTTTGTGGGGATTATTTCACTTTCACCCAATAATTCTCATTTCATTCTTTACAATAAGTAAGATAATTAATTCCCTTAACATTCAGTCATAATATCTGGTTTTGTGCAAACTATAAAAAAAGGATATATTTCAAAATGCAATATTTACAACAAATAAATTTAGATACAAGACAACAAAATAAAAACCTTTAAGATAATGTTACTTGCGTTTTAAAAAAAACTCACTTTTGCACTTTGGTATTTCTTTATCCCATTGTCCGTTCATCTGGCATGTGACGTTTACAGACTCCTCACCTACATATGGGGTATTGAACACCCAGTCATCCTGGCATCTAATATTTCTGGCATCACCAAGGAACACAGGCATGCTGGGACTCAACACTACAGAACTGACATCAATGGCCACACAACCTGGAAAATTCATGAAACATTTTTAATCAAATATTTTTAGTGGAGACTATTGAATGCTACAATTTACTGTTTCAACAGGTAGCTGAAAATTTTTTATGGTATATCATAGACCTGAATAGTATTAAAAATTAAATTTATTCTTTAATATTTTCTCTTATATTTCTATTATCATCTTTTCCAGAAACATAATAACATTTCAATAACTTTTGTGATTTAAAAGCTTGAATTAAAATGTTATGTTTCTACAAATAATGTTACTGTAGAGAAACTAGGTCAGCTGGCTAAGAGTAATACGCGGAGGACTCCGTTCAGGTTGAAGCAATAAGAAATATGTAAAAGGTGGAGAAAAACTTGAAAAAGGACAAAACAAAAAGCAGATGTTCAGCCCAAAAGCCTTTGACGGCAAAGAAACACAGGGGCAAACACTCTTGGCTCGTTGTAAAGCTAGTATGATTTGTATGATTTTTTTGTGTGTTGTCCTTTTCCAGGTTTTCCTCAATCCTTTGTACATGAGCTGGCTAAGGGCAATTTTTAGGGGCCATAAGCCATTAACAGAACATATTATTTGTATAAGTTGGCTAAATGCAGTCCATTTGTCCCTTGTTACATTTCTTTCAAGTTCAAACTGCTTGGACAAGCAGCTCATTTTGTTTTCTAAGAATCAGCTGACTGTGAGTTCAGATTTGTGAGAAAGTCAAGAGTAAATTTGTTTTCTTACCTCCAATTAACGTGGCCTTAAATCCCTTGTTTCTCCCAGTTGCTCCTGTTTTCATCACAAGTTTGATCCTCCCATCTTGCGAAAGGACCGCAGAAGGAGTTGTCTGGCCAGTGAATCCCTGGCCAGTGTGCACCGGTAAGTCTGAGTCCTTGTAGACCTACAATGGAAAACAGACTAGTTAATGAATGAAGCAGTCAAACTGTACAAACATGGGAGATCAAGGCTTTAAATCTTAAAGTTTTCTTTTTTCCTCATTCTCTTTGTCATCCCATTTAAAGCTCTGCTGCAGTATCTCTAGGACAGTTCAACTATCATCATCTCAGAAGTTTTTCTGCATACTAGTACTGACAGAAGAAATCTTCCCTTCTCATTAAACAACTGGTAATAAATGGAAACAAATTACTGAAAATACAAAAAAAAAACAACAAAAAACACAAAGAAACTAAAAAATAAAGTATGAAACAACACACACTCAAACACTGAGACAAAGAGTCATCAAATGACCTCCACAAAATCCTTGTCAAGTTCAAGATGAAATTCTTCAAAGCTGAGTCCGAGTGTTCTCCCATGCTCTGTGTTGAAGCTCCACTCACAATGCATGACGTTTGGGTAGGCACTGACACCAAACCCTGGTGACTCTATCTCATGCTGAAGGTTGATGGTCACTTCATAGTGACAGCCTGGTCAATTGGAATACAATAACTCTGTTCACATCAATGGTTTTCAATTCTTAACTTTTAAAAATACAATATAATTATCTTAAATCAACTATTTTAATATTTTAATTCAATCTTAAGCAAGTGCTAAACAATTATGAAATTTTAAAATGCATTCACTGCTCTCGTATGACAGATGTGTTCACACCTGTGGATATTTCCAGCAGACCAGCAATGTATTACTGTATCTGCATATTACTTTTTTTTACATCTACAGATCACTTTGTAACATCGACATATTACTTTTTTACATGTACGAATTACTTTGTTGCATCCATATAATACTGTATGCCCCTGTTAAATACTAGTTTCAAAAACAATAAAGTGTTACGTAAGGTATTAATAACAATAATAAAAAATTGCTAACCTGATCTGTACGCCAATAAAAATCCTCTTTTAGCTCTAGAGTACTTGAAACTTTTGAAGTAGATCAACATGTTGCTCCCAGTTGATGTGATAACCTTGTTGTATACTCCACCAGAGGTCAGGGTGAGCACAAGGTCAGAGTTCAATGTTGGTCCATCATAGAAATTTATATAGTCATAAATGCCCACATCCCAATCAAGAATCTACAAAAAATAAATAATATGTGAAATTTCATTCAAATTTTACATGTTCCAGTATTTTCAGTTCACTGTCAACAAAATAAGATTACACAATAAAAGTACACATACAATCATCTTGTGTCTCTATTATTAACAGATTGAGTTAATCAGTTTCAGAATATCCAGCACATGTAAAAATATTACCTGAACAGAAACAAGGTGTCGTCCAGGTGAGGAGATGGTCCACATGTACGCATAGTCACTTGGATAATGAAATGGATACAGAGGAGAGAATAGCCTTTTGGGTGTTGCAGTTGCAAAGAGTGACGGGCCTTGTATGGGGACATCTGATAAAGCTAAAAAGAAATATATTAGCAATGAGTGTATAAGGAAAACATTCTTTATAAATATGTGCATCCTAAGTAAAGCTAATTTGAAAACATATTTACTTTGGGTAGTTAAATTATAAAAAGTGATTGTATAGCACATGGCCCTTGATAATTTTAATACGAAGACAGTGTGTATATGAAATTTCCATTTTAATAAATCTATTTAGACAAAAAAAAATTGAAATTGAAATAAAATGAAAAGTAAAAAATGCAAAGGAAATATGTTTCAAATCAAATGCTTAAGATGATTAAAGTTCAAAGGTCAGACCTTTTTTGTCAGCAGTGCCTGGACAGGTCTTTATATACAGTTTCAAGTTATCACCCGCAGCGGCATCATGAAAGGTCGTACTCGGCATAAAGTCTAACTGACAGCAAGATTTTATTTCTTTATCATACTGCACGGCCACACATGTTGGTGCTAATAGACATTTGCTGTAAAACAATTATGGTTGACATTGTTTTAAAACATGCACCTTGTTGATCTCAAGGCTCAAAATATGCATTAGCAATGTGTTGAAAATTAATGCAGGGTGAGACCATCATGAACACCGAGGATTCTAAGGTCTTACTTTTGCTCCCATTATGTACACATTTTTAGGCAAACATGAACACAAGATTACACCTACATTTTCACAACATCAGACCTGGATGTACACACCATTTGACCTGCATGTACACACCCTTTGACCTGCATGTACACACCATTTGACCTGCATGTACACACCATTAGACCTACATGTACACACTATTTGACCTGCATGTACACACCATTAGACCAACATGTACATGACATTAGACCAACATGAACACACAACATTAGAGCAACATGAACACACAAAATAAGACCACCACACACACAACATCAGACCAAAGTAAGCAACCAACCTATAGCAATCTGTCTCCGTCAAGTTTGAAAAACCCCCAAGAGGTCCACCTCCAATAACCATAGCTCGATTTGGCACTCTTGCCAGGTCACACGCAAAACCTGGGAAATGATGTAAAAAACATAAATAACCCCCGCTAAACCTGCTAAAGATAAGTGACTTAAACTATTCAAATTGTTTTCTCTATCTCATAACATACAATGGATGAATACGCCAAAGATTTTACGCACAAAGAAAAAAATTTGGTGTTGAGTTAGATGAGAAAAATTAACAAGTGTAAAGTTTAAAATTAAAAGATGCATATGTTTTTCTATCGATGTTTCACCTGATTGAAAATAAAGTCTAAATCCTGAGCTGGCCGTGGTGGTGTCAGAAAAGAACCGCAGGAGAGCTAAGTTGTTGGGGGTCAGTAGTACAGAAGATGATGAGAGGGCTTCATCTAAAGTTCCAGACAGTCTTAGCATGCGTACACTGGAGGTCACGGTTCTCCCCCCTCCCCAAATCTCCAGGAAGTCAACATCGTGCTCTGTACTGAAGTGAATGATCTGAATGGTGCAAAGTTTATAAATTATTTTATTGATTAAATGAAACCAGTGATTTGAAAAACAATTTTTTTTAAATAATAGATTTAACGTTTAAAAAAAACACTATGTTAAAATAATTTTTTTTTCGTCAAGGGAGCTAAGAACATTTGATGACATTGTACCTGTATTTGAATTCTGCTGCCAATGCTGCCTTCAATGACCCACTGGCATGTCTGCTGGCTCGGGTATGACAGGCTGGATGTTGGGAAGACTATTTCTCCTTGCTTGGCAAGTATATAATAGGAGCAGTTCTGAGCTGAAACAGATATACAACAGGAATTAATAGGTTAATTTGCCATTCTTATATTTTTACATCTAACAATCTAAAACGCTTAGAAAACTTCTGATGTAATTTTTAAAATTTAGACAAGACAGAAATCGCCTTACAACAATTTCTTTCATCTGAAAGATCCCCACAGTTGTCTATTCCATTACAAGACAGATCATATGATATACAACGCCCAGTGTCACAGCGGAACATGCCTGTTGATGAAAAGAAATATATCTGTAGGGTCATGCGTAAGTTATTTTGATGTCAGTTAAAACAAGAGCTATGGAAAAGGGGGATGCAAGACTGCAAGGGAATGAACATTTTTTAATAAAACATCATCCAATTAAACTGAATCAGAATGTTCCTCAAGCGATTTCTAAATCATATATTTACAAGTATGTCATTTATCACCTTTAGGACAAAGCAAAGCTTCACATACAACTGATTTAGGTTCCTCACAAAGCTGCATAAACCAGTTCCAGCGATTGTTTCTTTTTGAAACTGCAGCACACTTTCCAGCCTGGTATAGAGAAGTTTTGTTTACTTCATTAATTTGAATGAAATTATGAAGTTTTAGGTAAAAAAAATTGTAGAGAGATGTGGCTAGAATCATATTTTTTAAAGATCAACTTGGTGAAGTCTTAACATTTAATAACTTAACAAAAATTCTTTTTCTTTTAAGACAATTATTAGTTTCTAATAATCTAATGATCTAAGATCCCTTTAATGTGTTGCAAATAAAAATTTTGATATAGTATAGAATATAATAAGATAATAGAAACCTTTTTAAAAAAAACATTTCCTTGAAACATAGGCAGAAATTTAATAAATAGGTTGTCTAACACATTTATGCTTTTGAATTTTACATGTGGGTTAATTGCTAAAAAAATAATAAAAATTTAATATTCTTGAGATGGAAAAAAAGCCATTAGTATCTTTTTAAAATAATGTTTCAATAGTTCATGCAAACAAACACAAACATCCTCCATTCAAAATCTCTCCAAATATTTTTTACAGTAATAGTCTTATATAAAAATTATAAACGCCTATTTATCTCCATTCACTGGTATAATTAGCTTATGTCATTTAAAAAAAATACTTTCAGTCAAAGCTGAAAGCAAGTGACTGTGTAGTGTACTGACCTGTATGTTGGGCTCATTGTAGCCCCAGTCTCCAACGTCAACTGTTGCCAGTGATCCATCACTCCAGTAGCCGATGGTATCATCCAAGGAGAAGTCATCTCTGTAATAACCTGTCCAACAAGATGTATTTATTTTATTTTGACCTCAGAAAATGATTCAAACAAGAGAAGTAAATACATAGATATTTTTTAAACAATCATCTAATTTCAACTATCTACTGTGTACACAATGAGGCTGACCTGTCCAAATGCTGTTGGTGGTGTTGTCAGCGTTAGTGGCAAGGACTCTGATTTCCTCTGTCAGCCAAGCACCAGTTGGTTTGACCAGTTCACCTCCATATCTTCAAATTTAAAAAAAAATTCCTTGCTGCATGTATAGATATTTTAAGAATAAATTACAATTTTTCAAGAGATATTGCAGTACATCTTGTTTTGGTTAAAAGGGAAAATGAAATGAAAACCTGTTGGTAATCAGCAATGTAGGATACATTTAATAAAAATGGTTTTAAAAACGAGTTATGATTATTTTACTTTAAAAAAAACTACATAACATATAATAATAATAGTTTCTGTGTTTTTTTTAATAATGCTTTTCTTAGCCTTGTGTGTATTGAATTGAAAATGTTTTTTTATTTAAAATTTTACATTTTTAAAAGAGATTATTAATTTCTTTCCCTATATGTTTTGTCTCACTTCTGACATTGTTTCGAAGCTTGGTCCCAAGAGAATCTCAGCCATGGAATTGGAAGATAACATTTGCTGTAAATCTCAAACCAACCTGCAATATTTTGCCAATCATGTCTCAAATGTTATCTTAAAGCAAATTTTTTTCAGTGTTGTTAACATTTAAATTAGAGAAACTTAAATGAATTTTTTTTTTTTTTATAAGCAAGAAAAAACTAAGAATTGAAACTTATTACTCTTAAAAATTATATGCATTCCATGCCATGAGGCAAGTCAAAGTTGAACATTAAGTCCCAAGGAAAAAAGGGGAGGGGTAGGTTAATCAAAGAAAACAGCCAGCTCCATAGGTGGAAGCAATATATCCACTATGCCATAGAATCTAATCTAAATAAAATATCGATATAATACTAAATACTAATAATATTCAATATTCCCAAGAAAATGGTCTGGTCCAGACTGTGTAAGTGTACAGCATCTGTCCTCAGTGTAACCCTAAGTCCATAAGTGACATAAGTCTAAGATTTAGCCTAATGTAGAATCTAAAACGAAAAGTATTAAATTAGGGTTTTTGATAGAAGCCACCAGCCACTGGTTATTGAAGCAAAACTTATGAAAAAAAAAATTACAGCGTTAAAATTATCGCCAATCCTTGCTTTGCTGTCTTAGCCCCAGGGAAAGGAATGATGGTTTGTAGGACTAAGACTGTATAGATATAATGTAATGGGAAAACTTTAAAGTGTATCTGGACACAGATGGACACATTATAATTATTTAAAATAATAATAATTATTAATTAATTATAATCTTAATTATAACATTTGTGATCCATAGAATGGCTGTACCACCTATCAATTGGTTTTAGCATATATGCAATTGTTGTAATATTAAGAAATAGCTTCCGCTGGTTGGCACCTACCTTGTGGACATGTCAACTGTAAGCCTTGGGCTTTTGCGAACTGTGCAAACATAAGATTTCATGACATTAATTAAGTTCAAGAGGTTAGAAATTTTGCTTTAAGAGTTAATGGACTTTTTTAAAATTAACTTTTAAATATTTAAAAATGTTTTTGCTTTTTTAATTACAATCAATTTTATAACCCATTAATGTTCATTAAAACTTTAAGATTAATTAGTTGATGTTTTTCATTTACTAAAGCTCGCTATTTTGTACAAGTAGGCCTACATGCACTATAGGTAATTGTTAAAAAAAAACAAAAAAAAAACAAAACCATTGAGTCTAATGGGACCCGGGTCTGAATGGCGGCCATGCGTGTTCAGATCCATTTTGACTAAATGCTATTCGGATGTCATATGTTGTAGTTTATTTTACTTAAACTGAAGAATTAAGATTACAAACATATAGTCCATTCAACTATCTTTCATTTGATACCTAATTTTGTCTTTTTACAAACCCAACAATAATATTTTAAATAGTTTTTTAATCCCAACCTCTCACTTCTGATACCCAGGTGCGAATAGCCACTTTGAACATATTATACCTGACATTGACATAGGTAGGCATCGACTATCAATAAGGTAAACTTAATTATTTTCTTCAAACCGGAAACTTATCGGCAGGAATGTCATTTGAGTAGGGCAGGGTGGGACATTTGCCCCCATCCCCCCAACTCAATTTGCAGGTTTTTATTAAAATGGCCACGTACTGTGGCGCCTCCAGTTATAAACAACTTAACAAGCCGACCAAGTTTTAGTCCGCCCCCCCCCCCTCTCTTGAAAAACCCTGAAATGATGCCCTTGTCCATCAGGTCAATGGCCCAAGAAAGGCCAAACATCGCACAAGGGCGATCTTGTCTATGGAATGAATATGGGTGGGGGGGATACAGGGGCGGATGGAGGGTTGAGAAGTTAAGGTTGAATGTCTAAATGAATTGGCCCTGGTGTCACTTATAAATAAAGGCAGAAGTAGGCCTATATTTGAATAAACTATAAACTTATTTGATTTATGTTTTATAATGTTGATAGCGACTATACACAAAAATAAAAACAACAGTCTCTAAATAAAAGAAAACAATTTTAAACAACAAAAAAAACTGAAACTGAAGTGACAGAATACAAAACAAAAACAAACTAAAAAAAAACATCATAAAATCGATCAGAGGTATTTAATACATTTCCATTTATCGTGCTATGACATATTATATGATATCACTGATGACATGTGACAGGTCAACCAATTATTGACAAGATTCCTGTGATGGCTTGGTTCACAGGTCATCACCATTAATGATTCCATTTATTTTACCTAGATTTAGATTTTAGATCCAAAAAAGCGGACCAAGTCCAAGTTGAATCGCAATTGCTGAAACTGAAGTGTCATGAGCAGTCATGCGAGACTCCATAAAAAATTCCTCTTCATTATTCGTTTCTATGAACCTAATACGTGAAGCTATCTTGCCGTTTCTTGTAAATGTTTTTTGCATAAACTATTTAACACTTTTTAAAATTTTTTCATAGTCTGCACTTTCGCCATCAAGCACTTTTTCGTCCTTTTAGAACGCAGGGGCGGTAACTGGGTCAACTTAAAAATCCACTCGTTCTTTAAATAACGGGGCATTCGCCCTTTTGGTGAAATTTTATGCGAATTCTTGTGAAATATTTATAAATTTTCTCTCCGCTCATCCTCTTGGCTTTAAAACAAACCAAATCAATTGTTTTTAAATATTCTGAAAACATACAATTTTTTGTTGAAAAATCGCAGCGCAGAGTGTAGAGAAGAGTAGAGCTGAACGCCGGCAGAAATCTTTAAAGCGCGCTCAATCGTTACGTTCATCCTTTCTGTTTGCAGATGTTCTTATGAGATCGTACGACTTGTGTTCGACAGAGAGGATATCATCTTTCGAGGCCAAATTTCTTATGTAAAACAACAAAAAAATATATGTTTAAGCAGGTGGTATTTTGTTCATTACAACCAATAATAATATTTTCGTAGCGGGTAGCTACCGTCGCGTCAGCTCATCGGGTGATGCCTGATAGTTAAGGTCGACCCCCCCCCCTCTCCGCCCAACCTCGTCACCCTGGAGGATATAATATATTTTGCATAGAGATGTCTAACTATCAGTGACCCGCCCCTTCCAATGTAAAAATTGAATGGCTGGTAAAACAATGAAACCCTTCAAGATAAAGAAAAAAGATGGCCGCTTGGAGTGGGCAATGATTTCCACCGCCCCTTCATAAGTATTCGGTAACTGCTTACTTGTCTATTGCTCTACTGAAAATTAGATGTCTTAGTGCAAAAATAACAAAACTGAATGTACTTTATTTGACGTAAGCAAACATAAATGTGAATGCTGCAACGCGAAAGGGGCGCATACCCTTAAGGGTTAATCATCATGATCACATGTCCCTCAGCCCTTGGATCGTTGGGGCGCCAAGGATGACACGAAAATTACCACCCCCCCCCCTTTCCATTCCGCTCTGTTTTTTGCACTTCGCACAGCATCGCCTAGCTTTAATCCCGTCCACTCTTTGGTGTTTCATTCCCATCTTTTTCTCTGTCTTTCTCTTCTTCTCCCTCCTCTCGTTGTGCCCTGCATGATTTCTTTGGCGAGTCATTGTTTTCTTGTCACGAGGCCATACCATTTCAGTTTGCGGTTAATAATATAGACAAAAACTACATGAATTCAATGCTATAGCTAGAAATTGAAATAAGCCTCTAAAGGTTACGTCATCAAAGACATAGTCCTAATAACCTAATTGATCAATATATAACCAGGCACTAGATATTCTCAGTCCTAAACCCGTGTCTGAGGTCGGGGCTCCGACTCCGAGACAACAATTCGCCTGAGGGAGCCAATATCTAGACCTCACTTAGCAAGCAATGTGGCGTGTTAAAATACAGAACCGGTCGTATAGATGAGATCAATGTGTCTGACAGCAGGCACGAGAAGATCGAATCATTGATTCCTCACTATTGTTTAACTCGTGTAATAAGTCTATTGATATTGATTGGGAGGTCACAGCTAATCGAATTCGATCGATCAATATTATAGTATTTTTACCTGGACACTTCGACTTCGAATAAAGGGTGCTCTGGCCCGTGAGATGGGGGTGGTGCGGCTGGGGGGGGGGGGGGGGGGGGGGGGGGGGGGGGGGGGGGGGTGCATAACATTCTACGATCAAAATCAATATAATCACGGGGTTGATAGAATCGATGGCGACCAGACACACATTAATTTGTTATGATATGTCGCTAACAATAGAACATTAATTTGTTATGATATGTCGCTAACAATAGAACCTTCATAGAATCGATGGCGACCAGACACACATTAATTTGTTATGATATGTCGCTAACAATAGAACCTTCATAGAATCGATGGCGACCAGACACACATTAATGTGTTATGATATGTCGCTAACAATAGAACCTTCGCCCAGTGTTTAACAATTAAACATTACACTCTCCAAAAAACTTTTTACAGTTTTCAATTTTGAAGTAATTCAGACGTTTAAAAATTGTTTTTTTTTAAAAACAATTGTTTTTAAAAATCCATTTAAAATAAATTGATAAAAATCAGGCACTGGTTTTAGCCTTGAGCGGGAATGCCCGGACACCTGTTGATGGTTCTGCAGTTAAGTCTATTGACCTAGGACATACGTAGGCCTATATGACATCTGTAAATGATAATACAATTTCAATATATTTTTAAAAAAATTACTTATTCGCGAATTTTGACTTCAACGCGCAAGCTAAAATATATTTTAAAACAAACTGTCAGAGGATATTGTTTTCTTTTTAAATTTCGTTACTCAAGTTAAACAATGCTGTGTCATAAATCACCAAAGACAGAATTTTTGTGTGTACTTTTCGTTACATTCCTAGACGTAAGGATGGAATTCTAGTAGAACACTCCCGTATTCCATAGATTCTTTGAACCCTCATCTTTTTTTTAATACGCCCCCCCCCCCCCCCNAACCTTACCTAGCCTCAAGCTTTTGATGAGTTTCAAGAGAAAAAAAAAGGTAATGGTGGACACTATAGTTTCCGCTGCATGTTCTTCTATAGAGGATACGTTCGTTAAAATAGTAAGTATTCCGCGTCCACCAGAAAGGAAAAAAAAAAGGGGGGGGGGGGCGCGTTACGTATCGATTTTATTAAAAAACCAAAAAAAACATGTGTTGTGACAACTCTAAATCTGAAATAAAATAAACAACAGCGTGCATTGTGAATTTAACGAGATATCTGATAAAAATGACAGCGTTTTTTTTTTCTAATTTAAAAAATGTCGCTGGTCAATGTAAGAAATGTTGTGTCATGAGCCACAAAAGAAGGTGACGTTCAGTTGTCCTACGAGACGCTACTGGTAAGGGTATCCGAGAGCCCTCATACGAGACGCTACTGGTAAGGGCATCTGAGAGCCCTCATACGAGACGCTACTGGTAAGGGCATCTGAGAGCCCTCATACGAGACGCTACTGGTAAGGGCATCCGAGAGCCCTCATACGAGACGCTACTGGTAAGGGCATCCGAGAGCCCTCATACGAGACGCTACTGGTAAGGGCATCCGAGAGCCCTCATACGAGACGCTACTGGCAAGGGCATCCGAGAGCCCTCATACGAGACGCTACTGGCAAGGGCATCCGAGAGCCCTCATACGAGACGCTACTGGTAAGGGCATCTGAGAGCCATTCATTGTTAAGCGATGCTTCCCTACTATTGAGAGGCGTTGGATCATCATCAATACTAATATGGCTGATTTTGTTTCCCTTTTCTCTTCAGTTATTGTGGGCAAGTAATCACATGCCATCTACAATATTTATTAGACAGCCTTAATTCCCGAATGGAAGATGAATATCCATTAATTTATATTAGCATTAAAAAATTAAAATTCATCGTTTATAAAGAACAATACATAAATAAGAAAGTTTGAAAATAATGATTTTGATCGTTAGGCCTAAATTTTGTGATTTTGTTTGTTGATCAATTTATAAAATTAAACGAATAAACAAGAGCTCATAAGAAGCGAAGCACGGGTTTGCTCTCCGTGGTTTAAAGAGTGTCAAATCATAATGTTGGGAAATGCGTCAGTCAGCTTTTCAGACACCCTAGACTTCCCGTTTAACTCCATTTTCCCCTTTGAGCGTTTTGACACGGGGTATCACTGACTTGTTAGATGTGTGCATACCATTTATTAAATGATTGGACACAGACGAACAAACATTGAAACTGACTTAAATATGTTTCTCTAAGGTCCGCACAAAGCAACAGGTGGGCCTGATGGTGTATGCAACTTTATCAAACTTATCAACGCTTCCTGGAGTGTATGCGGGACCATCTATCGAATTCGACGATTGAGGGGTTGGAGTAGTAGGAGAAGGTATGTGGAAGCTTGAATTCGAAAGACAGGACAATACAGAAAGAGTGAGTCAGACAGACAGTCATATATGAGAGACATACAGAGAGAGACTGAGAGAGGCAGGTAGAGAGACGGGGGAGAGTATAACATACAGATATAGATACAGAGAGATAATAATACACACCAAAGTAAAAGATAAAAAATAAATGGAGAGACGGCGTATGGAAGCAATGGTATTGAAACTTAATTCTATTGTAATGTATGGGGAGGGGTGCGTGTTAATGATTTTGCGCGTGGCCTGTGGTGGCCACTTTGAGCACGTCCAAGTGGAGCTGCTAGGGTCTCTTTGGAGAGTGGGTTCTTAGGAGCAATATACTATTCTTGGTTATAGGCATTTGAATTACATGCCATCTAGAGAATTATATTCAATCATGAAGATGTCGAATTGTTATGAATTTTAAAATAAATATATATTTAGGTTAGAATGTTAAATTTATAGTTTGTTAAAACTACATAATTAAAGTTGGAAAACAATAATCAAGATTTCTATACCAATATTCTGTGATGATTTCTTTAATTATTTAGTAAAAGACACTACCACAACATTTATAAAAAGAAAAATGTCTCTTAAATACCCTAAATATATATTTATTTAAAAATATAAAACGCGTAAACAATAATTTCCCTTAAAAGATGTATTATTTTATGCTCCCTTTTTCTTTAAACATGTAAAATGAATGTCGAAACGTTATTTCAGTAATATTAGTTTGTAATTAGATGTTAGGGATTTGAGAAAAGCGATTGAAAATGCATGTCCCCTCTGCCTCTCCCCTAGTTTTTAAAAATAACATTTTAAAGATCCAAAATTTAATTTTTTGAAATAAAATTATGAAAGCTGAAATTAAGCAATGCCAAATTTATATATACTATTTTATATTTTGCCTATACATATATTATTATTATTATATCATGTGAATGTTTGTTTGTGGGTGGATTTTTTCCACATACGTTTTTACATGGATTGATGGATATTGACCAAACTTTTTTTTACGTTTTTTCCACATACGTTTTTACATGGATTGATGGATATTGACCAAACTTTTTTAAACGTTTTTTCCACATACGTTTTTACATGGATTGATGGATATTGACCAAACTTGGCACATATATCCATCATTATCCAGAATCAAATACTGTGGGGTAATGAACTTTTTATAACAATCCATTTGGGGCAGTGGGCCCAAAATGAGTTTTTTTTTCCAATTCAAAGTATATAAATAAAATTAACAAAGAATACTCCTTCATTAATAGATGGATCTTGACCAAACTTAGTACACGTACACTACACTTGATTATCCACATTAAAATATCGAAGGTTACTGAACTCATAATATTCATCCCTCTGGGGCCAGGGGGCCCCATTTCATTTTTCCTTATTTAAGCTATATGAATATTAATAGGCTTAGACACACTATAAGTTTCTTTGTGAATGATGGTGACATGCCTATCGGGGTAGCAATACACTTCATTGTCGATATTGAAATGTCGGTGGATTTAAAACTAAGAATATCCAATCTAGAATTTTCCAGAAAGTTCGATAATTTTAAAAAGCTATATGAATGGCATTTTTAAACCGATTTTAGTCGGACAAATTTTAAATTTTGACTCCAAAAATTTATCTGAATGATTTTATGGGGTCCCCATCTCAGGCAAAACTGATTCGGTAAAATTATGGAATGGGCCCCCACTGGGCCCACTCTTTTAGCTGAAATGTATTATAAGTGCATTTAGTTGTATAATTTTTCGAGTTCAAAAAATAATTACTCAGAGATATCGGAATCGGAATACCGACATGATTGGGATCATACCGGGATTGGGCTCCAGAGAGATCGGAATCCCACTACTGGGAATTGGTGTACTAACGGCAGCGGGATACTGGCGGGATTGGGAGCCCACCGGGATCGGAATAATTATAAGGCTGTAGACTGTAGAAGTTCCTTCGTTTCGAATGCTATAATAATAATAATAATAATTAGTGTTCTTTCATAGCGCGGTACCCCAGCCTAGGGCTGGGCTCAACGCGCTGTACATAAAAATATTATCCAAAGAGAACAAATCATGACATTAAAATCAAATACAATTATGAAATAAAGAACAGCAAGAGCCCCAGGACTTTTACTAGGCAAACCATGGACGGCAACCAGCAAGATCATTTATCGGTCAGAGGAGGAGAATCAGTCAGGGTAGTATAGTTTAAAGAGATGTGTTTTGAGTGCAGTTTTGAAGGCCTGGGTGGTTGGTATATTGCGGATGTGTAGTGGCAAAAAATTTCCATTGTTGGGGGCGCAGAAAGAGAAAGATCGTTCACCATATGTTTTAGTGTGTGTCTTGGGAAAGGACAGAATACGCGTGTCTGCGGAGGAGCGAAGCTGTCGAAGGGGTGAATAGACAGAAAGAAGTTCGGTTAGATAGGAAGGGCAGGAATCCAAGAAAAAAGTTGTGACAGAGAACAAAAAACTTGTAGTCAATGCGTGCCTGTATAGGTAGCCAATGAAGGGAGTGGAGTATTGGAGTGACGTGATCACGTTTTTTTTGGTTTTTTTTCCCTTTAGAACTAGCCTAGCAGCTGAGTTTTGGACTTTCTGCAGTTTTTCTATGCAGTGTTTTGGTGAACTTGACAGAAGAGAGTTGCAATAGTCAAGATGAGAGAGAGAGAACAAGAGCACAGACTAGAGTTTTTTTTAGCGCTAACTGTGAGGTATTGGCGGATGGAACTGATCTGACGGATAGTGGTTTATGCTGAACGACAAATGTGAGAGATATGTTTATCGAGAGACATGTGGTTAGAAAGAATATAACCAAGATTCATAGTAGAGGGTGTAAACAATATGTCGGAGTTACCTACTTGAAATGAGGTGGCAAGAGTTGAGGAAGAGGATGATGTGTGATTGTGAATGAGGAGTGCTTCCGTATTGTCATCATTAAGCTTCAACTTGCTGTGTGTCATCCATGACTTGACATCATCAGCATGCCTCCCAAGCAAGAGGAGCAGTGGTCTGGTATACAATGTGAATATAACCGGGCCTAAAACGGACCCCTGTGGCACTCCCTACACCAAATCAGCACTGCATGAGAGACAGACATCGACAGAGACCGCCTGCGCTCTATCAGAGAGGTAGGACCTAAACCAAGCAAAAACTGAATCAGAAATTCCAAAGTAATTTTCAAGGGTTTTGAAAAGGATTACATGGTCAACAGTGTCAAATGCCGCACTGAGGTCTAAGAGGATCAGGATGGAGATATCACCACTGTCCAATGCGAGCAAGAGGTCATTGGTCACTCTCAAGAGAGCCGTCTCTGTGCTGTCGGAAATGTCTATAGACCGACTGATTAGAACTCTATCCCGGCAAATGCAGGGTATATCCGCTAGTGTGTGTATATATATATATATATATATATATATATACACACACTCCTCCGAAGTAGGAGCCTATGCAAAACCCTCCAAAGAAACACATTTTGACTTGATATATTATAAAGAGATGCATGAGGCTCCTACTTCTGGGTCGGATAACGTTTTTATTTACGACCACAAAATACAGTTGTTTACGCCATCGCCCCCCCCTCCCCATGAGTTGAAGGGGAGAAAATAAGAGGTTACTTGAAATCCATGCCAAAAAAGTGTGTGTGTGGGGGGTGAAGGTGAACCCACCCCGGGCGCAAACATAAGGGGGCGCAAATATCGTTTTTAGATAGGAGCTTTACAGTGAATTAAACTATAAAATCTCATGTTCTTCCTTATGACACAGTACGCAGTGTTCTAACGTTCTGACAAATGGGGGAAGATGGTGTAGGAGGGTCCAAGTTGTGCCAAAATAGATTGACGTCATTAATGGACTGACCCTTTTTATTTACTGCCTGCAGAGGGGTAATTATGACATGATCCCACCCATTTTGAAATCATTGACCTGCTCTTGACCTGCTCCTGTGGCATTGTTGAACAGTTAACAAACCGTCTACCCTACCCTTATTATTGAATCCAATACTTACTGCGATTGGCTGCCGGACCGTAAAGATGACCAGGATAATGAAAACAGCCATATCCACTTTTATCCAGCCACAACACATTCTAATGTCAGGTGACATGTCTACGTCCAGGCGATGAATATTCTATTTCCAAGGGTATCATAATGTATATGTCCAGGTAACAAATCTTCTATGGCCAGGTAGCACACGTTCTTTGTCCACACAACTTAACTTCCATTACAGTGTGAGGAGCTTAATAATGTGTCCAGGCAAAATATCTTCTCTGTCCAGATAACACACATTCTACGTCTAGGTGACACACCCCTTGTGTCCATGTGACGCACCTCCTATGTCAAGGTAACGCACCTCCTGTGTCTAGATGACGCACCTCCCAAATCCAGGCGACGCACTTCCAATGTCTAGGTAATCCACCCTCTTCATCCAAGAACAACACCGTAAATATCCAGGTAACACATTCAACAACCAGGTATCGCTCACAGGAACGGCTCTAGCACATCGCTGAACGGTTCCACTTAGTTCCCGTTACCGTAACGCCATCGTGGGCCCATCTCATCAATTATTCCCATCGTCCTTATTTAGACATCAGCTGCGTGCTGTAACCAAGAGGAAAACACATCAAGCAAAAAAATTAGAAGTGCATTATGGATTTTTTTCTCTCCACCACTCTGAGTTGTAGTTGTGTACACATTGTTTTTGGTTGTGTACACATCGTTTGTGGTTGTATACACATTGTTTGTCGTTGTATACACATTGTTTTTAGTTGTGTACACATTGTTTGTGGTTGTATACACATTGTTTTTAGTTGTGTACACATGGTTTGTGGTTGTGTACACATGGTTTGTAGTTGTGTACACATGGTTAATAGTTGTATACACATTGTTTGTAGTTATATACACATTGTTTTAGTGGTGTACACATGGTTTGTAGTTGTGTACACATGGTTTGTAGTTGTATACACATTGTTTTAGTTGTGTACACATTGTTTGTGGTTGTATACACATTGTTTTAGTTGTGTACACAAGGTTTGTGGTTGTGTACACATGGTTTGTAGTTGTGTACACATGGTTAATAGTTGTATACACATTGTTTGTAGTTATATACACATTGTTTTAGTGGTGTACACATGGTTTGTAGTTGTGTACACATTGTTTGTAGTTGTATACACATTGTTTGTAGTTGTATACACATTGTTTTTAGTTGTGTACACATGGTTTGTAGTTGTGTACAATGCTTTGTAGTTGTGTACACAAGCTTTGTAGTTGTGTACACATTGTTTGCAGTTTATACACATTGTTTGTGGTTGTATACACATTGTTCGTAATTGTTGTTTACACATTTTTTGTATTCAAAGAGCAACTTTTGTGATACCCTATCCATTCACTCAGACAGACTAGAATTAGAAAGATACACACACACACAGTGAGAGAGAGAGAGAGAGAGAGAGAGAGAGAGAGAGAGAGAGAGAGGAGAGAGAGAGAGAGAGGAGGAGAGAGAGAGAGAGAGAGAAACAGAGAGAGACAGAGAAAAAAACAGAGAAAAGCAGATAAAGACAGAGAGAGAGAGAGATTGTATACACATTGTTTGTAATTGTTGTTTATACATTTTTTGTATGCAAAGAGAAACTTTTGTGATACACTATCCATTCACTCAGACAGACTAGAATTAGAAAGAGACACACACACACAGAGAGAGAGAGAGAGAGAGAGAGAGAGAGAGAGAGAGAGAGAGAGAGGAGAGAGAGAGAGAGGAGGAGAGAGAGACTGAGACAGAAACGGAGAGAGACTGAGACAAAAACGGCGAAAAGCAGATAAAGACAGAGAGACGGTGAGAATGGAACATACAGATGCATAGAGTCAGACAGACGTATGCCCACGTGAGGGGAGTACCACTAATAATAATTATATATATAAAGGTACACATATAGAGTGTGAGATAGAGACTGAGACATAAATGGAGAGAGGCAGATACAGTCACAGAGAGACGGGGAGAGAAAAAAAAACACATTTTACATATCTATGTGTATAGATAGAGAGAGGGGAGTTACAGACCAGATATATTTTTGGAGAGAATAATAATGCACAATACTTACAGACCAAAGTAAAAGATGAGAATAGATGGAGTGACGGCGTGTAGATAACCGTAGTAATGTACCTGAATCAAAGCTAACTAACACCTATACAAGAATGTAGCACTCCACGCTCAGCACAGGGACACTAAACACTGGACCACCCGGGGGGGGGGACCCGACACATACCCCCAGTACAGAGACACTAAACACTGGACGCCTCGGTTTGGGGGTTGGGTGCCGACACATGCCTGGTCTGCTTCCGATTTGCAAATATCGACAATAACGTGTTCTTTTATGACACATTGATCAGATCCCCAGGTCGACCACTTGGAACAAAAGGCTGACGACATGAGTTTAATGGCTCAGGGCCCAGAACCAACGTGGGAGATTTCATGTCTTTGTAACTGATTTAAGTTTAGCGCCCACTCGCACCCCCCTCTCTCACACCCACCCACCCACACACCTACCCACCCACACACACACACACACACATTACACACATACACTGATTTCGAATGAAAAGAATATATTTACGGTAATCCTTGGGTCGTGGAACGCATGGAAGAACTCCCAGAGAATCAAATTCAAGTTAGTCGGTGAGAAGGTGGGGTGGGGTGGGGTTAGGGTGGTGGGTGGGGCTGTGTGCGGGAATGGGGACTGGGTGCTGGGAGCGCGACGACCCATCCATTGATAGTGTCATTTTTAACACATCAATCTAATAGTGTCATTTTAACACATCCATCTAATAGTGTCATTTTAACACATCACCTAAATAATGTCATTTTTAACATCCATCTTATAGTGTCATTTTTAACACATCCATCTAATAGTGTCATTTTAACACATCCATCTTATAGTGTCATTTTTAACACATCCATCTAAATAGTGTCATTTTTAATACATCCATCTTATAGTTTCATTTTTAACACATCCATCTAAATAGTGTCATTTTAACACATCCATCTTATAGTGTCATTTTTAACACATCCATCTAAATAGTGTCATTTTGAACACATCCATCTTATAGTGTCATTTTTAACACATCCATCTAAATAGTGTCATTTTTAACACATCCATCTTATAGTGTCATTTTTAACACATCCATCTAAATAGTGTCATTTTAACACATCCATCTTATAGTGTCATTTTTAACACATCCATCTAAATAGTGTCATTTTTAACACATCCATCTTATAGTGTCATTTTTAACACATCCATCTAAATAGTGTCATTTTAACACATCCATCTTATAGTGTCATTTTTAACACATCCATCTAAATAGTGTCATTTTGAACACATCCATCTTATAGTGTCATTTTTAACACATCCATCTAAATAGTGTCATTTTTAACACATCCGTTAATATTAGCCTACTTTTTTAATCCATCCATTTGACATAGATGTTATACTATGGAGTTGATCCAGGAGCGTAAGCAGGGGCGTACCGAGCGTGTGGTAAGACATGGCGCATGCCATGGGCACCTCTTGAAGGGGGTCGAAAAATCGGCGAGCCGGACAAATAATGTTCATAAACTTTTTTCCCCACTGTTTTTTTTTTTTTTCTCCAATAAATTAATTGACCTCCAACTGACAGCTGAATTGTTGCACTCTTACCCAGCACACTAAGCTTAAAGTAGAAGAAACTGACTGCAACTTAACTTTGATAGCATCATTTACCAGTTCCCGTCAGCAGTGGCGTAGCTAGGTTTTATGCCCCCTCGGGTTCAACATTTTTGTGCCCCCAGCCCACTTTTTTCACGAAAAAAACTCTTCAGTTGTCGGAGAAAGCCACCCCTGCGTATAAAGTAAAAAGGGCAGCCCGGGGCTGACCGCCCCCTCCCCCTTCATACACCACTGCTCATCAGATAAGACAAGACAGGTCAGACTGTAATGTCTCTAATGTGTTGTATGCTGGTATATTCGTATATTAGTGTTGTTTGAAGTCGGTGCTTCAATAAAATTGTAAGCTATCTCTGAGTAGGTGTATCCAGGCCCGGCGCTAGGGGATGGCGAAGTGGGCGACCGCCCAAGGCCCCACGTTTGCGGGGCCCCGCGCGTTGCCGTAGTATATTTATAATATACCTAAGCCTACTAATAGTTCCTAATCCAGTCAACACAATATTCGGAGTTATTAGTAGATTGTCGAATGGTCTGAAGGTCATCACGGCTCCCATACTATCTAAACTAAACGGGTGAACAAATATCCGATATGACGCGTCCCATAATGACGAGCAAAGCCCCAGTACGACTATAACGTGTCTTAATATCCTATCAGCGGTATATATAACGTCAACGGCCCCGCAAATTTCAATTTGCCCAAGCCCCGCACCCTCCTAGCGCCGGCCCTGGCGTATCGTTGTGTTTTTAATTTATATAAATTGCCGTTCTATATGCTATATCTTAATCACACAAAAAAACAGAGGCGTAGCTAGGGGGGGGGGGAGCAGATGTCCCTGGGCGCCAGACAAGTTAGGGGCGCCAAAATGTGCTTTGATATTATTTTTATTGATGAACATGATGGGTTTGAGAGTTGAAAAAAAAAGGAACGGGAGACGCTTTAAATGAATCTTGCCCCCGGGGCGTCAAACACTCTGGCTACGCCTCGGCATAAGAATAGGAGCGCCATTTTAGTTCTCGCAGTGGGCGTTCTATGTCTTCCCCGTCGTGTGACTTTTGGAGGCCCCCATGCCATTTTTTTTGGTTTTCTGATCCTTGCATTCAAAGTTGATAGTTCAACTTTGTTCTTCAACACAGCTTTTGGTCCTTTTGGCGACGGTTCTGTGATAATAGGAGCATTGAACACAACAACAACACACACATACATTATCATTTGGTGGTAGGCCCAGTTGTGGTGGTAGGCCCAGTTGTGGTGGTAGGCCCAGTTGTGGTGGTAGGCCCAGTTGTGGTGGTAGGCCCAGTTGTGGTGGGCCCGACTGTATTAGGCTCAACTGTGGTAGTCACACCTGCGGTAGGACCAACTGTGGTAGGCCAAGATGTGGTATTACCAGTTGTGGTAGGCCCAGCTGTGGTTGACCCAACTGTGGTAGGCCCAGCTGTGGTTGACCCAACTGTGGTAGGCACAGCTGTGGTTGATCCAGTTGTGGTAGGCCCAGCTGTGGTTGACCCAACTGTGGTAGGCCTAGCTGTGGTTGGCCCAGTTGTGGTAGTCCCAGCTGTGGTTGAACTGTGATAAGCCCACATCAAAGAATGCGTACACCCCCATGAAATAAGGAGTCGTTCGCAAAAATGACGTCCGCTCAGGGGGTCGGGGGGGGGGAGGGGTGTCGAGAATTTGTGACACTTTGTGACAGGGGGGAGGGAGGTCAATTATTTATGACGTCACGATTTTTTTTTTAAATATAAAATTTTGTATTCAATTAATGTTAAAAACAATTTGAGGTTGAAATTGCCTCAGATATAATAGGTACCATGAAACTCAGTCGCGCACACCGTAAGCGCATATCGAACAATGACTCAAAAACTGTTGTGGCCATTTTACATTTGGCTTGTGGATGACTTTGTTGTTTCGCGTCACAGTTTTCTAATCTACATCTCAGTCCATTATGGGAAAATATCAAAGAATAAAATCTTAGTTTAGTTATGAAAATTTTATGTATGTTTTGATTTTTTTTTAGGTGTGACGTGATACTAAAGGGGGGGGGTGTAAATAATTTCTGACACTTTGTGACAGGGGGGAGTGGGGGTCTAAAAAGGTGATTTTTTTGCGTGACGTAATTTGCGAACGACCCATAAGAGAAACAAAAATTATTAAAAAAAGAAAAATTACTGAACACTTTAGAAACGGAACAAATTATATATATTTTTTATTGGATATCACAGCACGGGGACGAGACAACAAGGAATCTACGTCACGGTTTGATAACATGACAGTGAACACAATCTTAGCAATCAAACTTAGAACATATGATGTCATGGTGTGCAATCATAGCAATCAAACTTAGAACATATGATGTCATGGTGTACAATCTTAGCAATCAAACTTAGAACATATGATGTCATGGTGTACAATCTTAGCAATCAAACTTAGCACATAGATATCATGGTGTACAATCTTAGCATTCAGACTTCGAACATATGTCAAATAGTCAGATTTTGAACTTATGATGTCTCATAGATTTCGAACATATGATGTCACATAGTCAGATTTCGAACATATGATGTCACACAGTCAGATTTCGAACATATGATACCAAATAGTCAGATTTCAATGTGAATGCCATCTGCGTTCTGACAGTTCACCGAAATCATGGATTGACATAGTGAGCATTACATGATTATGACAATCCCCGATTACAGCGAAGTGAAGACCAATTAGACATGCCAGGATTATTCCCCGGTGTAGGTTACCAGAGAACAGGATTCACGGATGGACTCACATTTCAATCTCAATAGATGCTTTATTTATTTAGGCTGTGTTCAATGGATTGTTATCAAAATCAAACATCTAGTATTCAGATGAAAACACCTGGGTACATAGACACAATCTCTGCTTAGCACATAAAGATAAAAGTAATCAGTGACAGACACTACCTGTGCCTGGTTTGTAGAGGTTATGACACGAGACAACAGTACCTTGAATGAAGAGGTTAAGGCAACACCTACCAGGTAAGAGATGGAAGTTCTCACCTTGATGAGATGAAAGTACAAATGTCGTTTTAAATTGCTGGAGCTCTTCCCCAAGTCACATCTCCTGTTTTTTTATAAGGTTGTTGCTGACGTCAGTAAACATTTTAACACATACATTATTCATGATTAAATCAAAATTAATATTGCATATGAAAGCGTAATGTGTAATATTTTGTACTTTAAAAAAAATCTAATGTTGAAATTATGAGTCCCCTTATTTTTTTATTTTCAGTCAGATGAATATAAATAACCACAACTTAGAGTTTGATTAAAGATATAAACTAAAGTATAATTATTTGAACTGGTCCATAACACTGGATCCGAATGGTTTAGATAGTAGATACAAAATATTTACACACCATGAGAAACAACACACTGGCAAACCATTAGGGAATGCATGTTCACACACACCATGAGGAACAACACACTGGTAAACCATTGGGGAATACATG